ACCCCCAAAAATTAGAAGTATGCTGGATATTTGATTTTATTTTGTCAAAACAGTTCTGCAGAACTGCTCTTTTTAACCCCATTTGTCTGCAGATGTTGTCATTTATATATCGCTTTAAAACTTAAAGCCACTGGGAGATAGAAATGACCTGAAACGCCACTCTTTTCATGCCAATATTTACATCTTTTTTTTCACATTTCTGGCTTGACATGGCTCATAGTTTTTGCCAGTCCAGCACAATTTGGCAGCGTAAGAGGAAAACAGTTGAATTCTTGAGCCCCCTAAGATCTCCTAAGCATTAGCACTACAGTTTTAGAGTTTTAAAGGCGGGGGGGACAGTGTGTGTGTGTGTGTGTCCGTCTGCCTGGTTGTCTGACAGGTCTGCTGACTGGTCTGTGCTGTCCCCCCTCAGGTGAGCGACAGAGGTCAGGCCGTGTGGGGGGCCTGCCTGGGACTGGAGAGGCTCCTGCTGCGCCTCAGCCTGGTGCTGCCACAGGTACGACTCCCCCCCCTCCCCCCTCCCCCATCTCCCAACTCTCACGCACCTGGGCGAGGATGAGTATTCCTTGTGCTGTCCTTTTGGAATTAGGCAAAATGGGGATTCATCAGTACAGTGTATTGGGAATACCCCTCCATCTGTTTTCTAACTGCTTCATCCAATTCAGGGTCAGGGTGGGGGGAGGGAGCTATCCCAGAATGCAATGGGAGTGAGGCAGGGTACGCCCTGGACAGGACGCCAGTCCCACCAGACTGTGGGAGGGAACCAGAGGTCCCAGGGGAAACCCACACAGACACAGGGAGAACATACAGACTCCACACAGACAGGCCAGATTCAAACCCAGGGCCCCTTATGATGTTCTCCCCCCTGTTTGTGTGGGTCTCCTCCCACAGCCCAGAGACAGGCTGGTGGGTACGTTGACTTCTGGGAAAACTGGCCCTGGCGTGTCCGTGTGTCCGTGTGTGCAAGTTTCACGAGCTGTGTGTGTTGGACCGGGAAGCAGGCTTCACTGACTTCAGTGTGTCTTCCCGTAGGTGAAAATTCATTACGAGTGGAAGGTGGACGGGACAGAGATTTCGCAGGTCTATGGGTGAGCTGACCATCACCCCCTGACAGTCTGTTCCCCTGGGGGGGGGGATACATGCCCCTGAAGCACTGAGCTTTTCAGACCGAAATACACACCCCTGATGAGTCTCGCACACCGCGGCGCCAGATGCAATTAATTAATTATGGGCTGTGATTTATCAGACCATAACGCTGCGTCATCAAATTCCAATATTGTGTTTCTTTTCTGCATCGCATTGAGGTAATCATCAGAGTCAGTGCTGGAGGCTCTGTTCCCAAACTTTTGTACTGGTAAATCCAATATCCTTGGAAATTCTTTTCACTTTTTTATTTTAATTAAAGGCACCTAAAGTTTTCTTGAAGAAGCGGTCATGGGCTTCCTGTACTGCTGTGCTTTCGCTGCAGTTTGACTGTGCTGTGCCACCCCAGCACATTCGCGCTGAGCCCCCTGCCTTTTTCTCACAGGGGCAAGCAGAAGAGAAGAGCTCTCCTGCAGGGCAGAAGTCTGCTTGCAGAGAGCGCCCCCTACCTGCAGTAAGTGGGAATACCGCGGGACCTCTTCATAAGAAATAACTGCTCTCTATTGCATAGTTGATTAAATTATTTATTGCTTCATTATGATACTTATGATGATGATATGATACTTCATTATGATACTTCTAGCTACACTGTCAGGTATTTTATAATTAACCGTACCTCTAATAAAGAGAATGTTCAGCGTTATCGCCTGCATAAGATGTGAGGAAATTCATGTATCTTTTTTCCAACTTTGGGAGGAAACAGTCCAGGACAAATCTTGCCAGCAGCTATATCACCCTGCAGCTCACCACTGGCAGCCCCACTGGAGCTCAGCAGGAGAGCTGCTGGAAGAGGTGTCAGTGGGACCAGCAGGGGGCGCTCACCCTGCGGTCCGTGTGGGTCCTGATGCCCCAGTATAGTGACAGGGGACACTAGACTGTAAAAAGGCGCCGTCCTTCAGATGAGACGTCAAACCGAGGTCCTGACTCTCTGTGGTCATTAAAAATCCCAGGGCGTTTCTCGAGAAGAGTAGGGGTGTTACCCCGGTGTCCTGGCCAAATTCCCCCCCTGGCCTTTACCCATCATGGCCTCCTAATAACCCCCCTCTCTGAACTGGCTCCATCACTCTGCTCTCCTCCCCACTGAGAGCTGGGGTGTGGGGAGCGGACTGGCGCCTCATCCAGGTGGGGGGACACACTGCTGGGGATGGAGGGGACCCCCAGGACCCTAAAGCTCTTGGAGTGGAGTGTCCAGAAAAGCGCTATAGAAGTGTCTTAGCATCTTCACAGAACTGCTCTGTGACTCCTTGCTTCTCAGCACTGGTTTGAAACTGGTTTGAAACGGTGTGATGGCAAAGCAAGCTGCCCCTCCGACGTGTTTACCTTTCTCCTGTGTCCTGTGCCCTAGGTGTCCCCTTCCCGTGCCCATGCCCGGCCCCTGGGGGGCGCCGTGTGGTCAGATCCACCCCGTGGCGGGCAGGGCAGTCTCTCTCCTCCTGCCCCCGGAGGTGGCCGAGCTGGGGCAGTGCGGGGAGGTGGCCCTGCACCCCGTGGCGGCCCTGTGTCCGTGCCTCCAGCAGTACCC